TGTTTAACTTTCCTATGCCTGAGCATTGCCATCTATAAAAAGCAACAATAATAAATCCTATGACATAGGATTTGTTGAGATTAAGTGAGCAAATGGCTACACAGTATTTAAAATAGTATCTAATGCATAGTAGGTATTTCTTAAATATTATAGATCAATAGTAGTAGTAGCAAATTAATTTTATTATTTTGAAATCTTAAACAACAGAAGAAAGAAGGGGCCGGGGAAATGGCTTGGTAGAATAAGCGCCTGCCTGGCAAGCACAAGGGCCTGAGTTCAAAACCCTGGTTGCACCAAAGGAAAAAAAAAAAAAAAAAAGAAGAAGAAGCTGAAAATAGCCATCCGGGGGGAAGGATTTATGGGCAAAAGGAACAGGACTGAGATTGCTTTTGTTTTTTATTAAGAGCCTTGAGGTACAATTTGACTATTTATGTTTTTCTGAACTAATAAGCAAAGTAAATTCACTTCCTACAGAACCAAATGATAATACTACTACTTAAACACAACTGTAGTTCAAGTCTGATGGGACCACTAAAGAACAGATGGCCTGGGCAGAGTCTTTCCATAAGCCAGCAAAAAACATCCTTAGAGTGGACTGGCCAGATATCTCAGCAGACTAAAGTGCCTGCTTAGGCAGGCACAGGGATCGGGGTTCGATCCCCGGTGTGCAGTGCCGGCCCCACCCCTGGGGCGTGCTGAGACAGCAACTGAGACTGGGTGTAATGGCCTGCACCTGTAATCCCAGCACTTGGGAGGCTGAAAACAGGAGGATCAGTACCAAGTCGGATCTGTGTAGTGAGACCCTGTAGACCTGTACTAAATACATTAAAAAAGAAAAAAAGAACATCCTCAGGATTTCATCTGTGGCCCCAGCGCAGACTCTGCATTCCCAGAAGTGGACAGTGAATACAGAAATAGCAGCAGAAACACTAACAAAATCCAAGCGACCTCCCAAGACAGCATGTGACCCAACAAACACCAAATGAGCAGAGTGCCGTGCTCGGGACACAGTGGTGGTCAAGGGTGGCTTATGCAGGCAGCATGAAGGCCAAGAAGGTCTTGATGAAGCTGCTGGAGAGCCAAGGGCATTCCAGGAAGGCGTTCCTTGTGCCTGAGGTATGGGGATGAGGCTGGGCAGGTGCCCAGTGCCAGCCCAAGGAGCTGGCCTCTGTTCTGGGGCCCTGGCTGCTTCTGTTGTAGGATCTTGCAGGGAAACAGATTAGCGACTAAACTGGGGCTCTAGATCTTAACCCTACTAACTTCACTGACCAGTTTTGTGACTCAAGGTGAGTTACCTAAATTACCTTAAACCTCCATTTGTTTATGTGCAACATCAGGAAGGGGACTGTTGCAACTCATGGTTGGTATGAGAATTAAGTGAACAAACCAGCAATCCTCACCTACTACCTAGTAGTAAGCACTCAACAAATGAAAGCTGTTGCAGAAAACCTTACAGGATCAACACACTTTTTTTCAAGAAATAAATTCGGGGGACCGGGGAGATGGCTCAGTGGAATAAGCACTTGCTTGGCAAGCGCAAGGGCCTGAGTTCAATTCCCGGTTCCACCAAAAAAGAAAAAAAAAAGAAAGAAAGAAAGAAATTCGAAGGACAAAGGGAAAAGCCACATGTAAAAAGTCTTAAGAGATACCAAACAATTGCAATGTATGGACTTTGTTTAAATCTTGATTTAAGTATTTAAACTGTATAAATAAATAAATAAATAAATGTGATAAGACAACTGGGAAGTGGTAAAGCTCTAGTGGTGCATGTTTGTAATCCCAGCACTCAAGAGGCTAAGGCAGGAAGATCACTGCAAGCTTAAGGCCAGGCTGGACTACAAAGCATGTTCAAGCCTGGCATGGACAATTTAGTGAGTTCAAGGCTACACAGTAAGACTGTCTCAAAAAAACAAAAATTATGGGTAAAAGCATGGTATGTAGGATGATAATCTAACAGGAGGGGTACAGAACAAGTAACACTAGCCATCTGTTTATGTGATAAAGCTGGCTGATGGATACAGTATATGGGGCCACCAATATACCTCACTTTCTTAAATGTTTGGTATTTTTCCTAGTCAAATGTTTCCATTCATAGAACTAAGTATGGGGTAGCTATTAGGGTCATTTCTTTCACGGACATGCTAGAATATAAGCAAAGATCATGGCTGATCCTTACTGGCCACTGCTTTCCCCACAGCACTAAGCACTGAGTGAGTTCTCTACCAGCAATACAAGTGCAGTGCAGACTTGGTCATGTCAAAAGCACTCTAGTAATTTCTAAGACACTTCAATGACTTGACTCTACTCTAGGAGGAAAAATCCTGATTAGTAATAGGGCTGTTTACTTTTAAAAGGCGCCAGCTATCTCTTAAGCTGACCAGATTGCTTTCTTCTTCATATTCCACATTTGGCATTTTTTCTGTTCCTCTCTCTCCTACCACTTAAAGCACATGTTGGTCCTACTACCACTACATCTCTCCCCTTACCCTTCAACCAACTTTCACCTACTTACTTCCTACATTTTTAAAAAATCTCACCTCAATCTTCATTGCTTCCTTCAGTCTCCACCAAAGTGCCATAATTCTAACAAGTGAACACTCTCATAGTCTATCATATGCCTCTCTGAAAGAGGACTTAGCATAGGTACAATATGAAAATTATGTTATTCTTTATCATTGTATCCCTGAATTTAGCATAGGACCTGGTCTAGAGAAAATGAATAATAAATAGGACTCTCTGGCATGCAACCCCCTCCCCCCACCTACCCCAAGTAGGCTGCTGTAAGACCTCATTGAAGGACCTGGCATCAAAGTTCTTGAAATCAAAAGTCCCATCCTTCCCTCCCTCACCAGTCATCGCCCACGTTGAAGGCATTAAGGCTCTTGGTGAAGCCTTGCATATTGGTGGGACTGACTCTTTGCAGGAAGTCAATGTAGTCCTCAGAGTGAAAGCGGCACATGTCATGCTGGGAGGCCTGGTATGGCTTGAAGACCTTGGAATGAAGACACAAGATGAACCTAGGTAGGACCAGCCCTATGAATAAGGCTGTACCACCATCACTAAAGCTGGCCCTGGAAATTGTCCAAAACCACATACAATTCCCCCATCCCCTAATCCTTGTTATTCTTTTGTCAGTAAGGACAGGTCCACAGATGAACTTGGTAAGATCCCTAAGGATTACTTCTTCCACCTCCAACCTACCCTCTCCTACCATCTGAACTTTGAACCCAAATCTACCTATCCTGTCCCCTGGACCTCCTATTTCTATTTCTCCCCCTACTTTAGTTCCCTGGGCTTTACACTTCCCTCATTCATCTGGGTTCTTCGTTTTGGAATCAAATACATGGAACATATGACAACTTCCTAATTCAAAATGTGTTAAACCAAAGATCTGTCATCTATGGAGTAGGGAGGTTTGCTACACCTCTTTGAATACTGGGGAAGAAGACTGAACTTTTCTTCTAGAAAATGCACATATGGGAACATAAGCAATCTCAGGGGATTCAGATATTCCTGGGATCACCTCACTTTTCCTAAAACCAATGTTTGGTTGTGCTTCAGCACACACAAGCAGGGAGCATTCATTCACACTGTTGACCAAGTTTCCTGACAGTGCATAAGAGCTGAGTCTGTTATAATCCCACCTCACAGGTATAAATGCCAAGCCAGGAACAGACAGCATGTGTATATAGGAGAAACAAAAGATTGAGCAGTGATTAAGCAGAACTGTGTATAGATTCTAGATTGAAAAGGAAATATGAGGGGGCCAGGGAGATGGCTCAGTAGAATAAGTGATTGCCTAGCAAGCACAAGGGCATGAGTTCAATCCCTGGCTCCACCAAAAAATAAAAAAAGAAAAGGAAATATGCAGGACATCTCCTGCCCGCCATACACATATAACACATTTATACACAAGGCTACAGAGTTGTCCCTGGAGTTCTAGCTCCTCAAAGGTAAAGAGAAGTGACAAAGAAGGAGTGGGGGGCCAGGGAGATGGCTCAGTGGAATAAGCGCTTCCTTGGCAAGTGCAAGGGCCTGAGTTCAATCCCCCAGTTCGGCCAAAAAAAAAAAAAAAAGAAGAAGAAGAAAAAGGAGTGGGCAATGATCTGTATCACAATCAGGTACAGTGATTCAACCCCCTCACCCCTGAAGCCCCAGCATTGTCTACATCCTAAACTGCAGAGAGAGGAGTAGCTCACAGGTAAGGGCTTGCCTAGTAGGTGTGAGGGCCTGGCTTTCTGCACCATAAGATAAATAAGCTGCAGGGGAGTACACAGGTCTACACCAACAGTTGGTCAAGGGCTGGCCTGCCTAAGGCCAAAGGATAACTGATCAGATGTGAAAACATAATTTCCATTAAATGAGGACGCCACCCCCACACGGCATACAGGGAGTGCCCCTGGTGTCTTCCACTTTGCTCCTGGCGCCCTAGGTTCAGGTTGCATTTGGTGTATTCAGTCCAGCCCACCTAACCCTCCAACTTATTAGGTAACTCGTTCCCAGCCCCAAAGCCCAGCAGAGGAGCAGGAACTCACGATCATCTTCTTGTAGAGACCGTAGTGCAGGACGAGGCTATGGGTCAACGCCAGGCGATGGGGTTTCATAGGGTGCCCAGCTCCTGGGGGTGGGGAGGTGAGAGTTCGTCAGTGTTCCCTCGAGTTGTAGCCTCGAAACCTTTGCTTTCCGATCTCTCGCGCACAACCCTTTTCCCTCACCGTAGTGGAAGTTTCCCACATCGGGGTCGTAGAAATAGGCCACAGTCTTGGCCATGGTGCCAGCAGGACCAGGCCCCACGCCTTCACCACCCGCCGGACGAAAGTCCCAGCCCCACCCCCGGCCGTGCGTGCTGCGCAAGCACGCAGCCTTCCTTTGCGGAACTGGGAGGCCTAGGCCCCGCCTCCGAGGCCACGCCCTGGCCACGCCCCTGCGGAGTTCCGCCCCTCGCCTCGTTTGGTTTCTAGTTTCTGGGGCGTGAACGACTTGGCTTCAGCGGGGGAAGGGTGACCTGAGTACTGGAATGAGAGGGCCATTTCTTTCCAGGCGAGGGTCAAACCCTCGAGAAGCCGAGCCAGCCCATATAGCCGCTTGCCTCAAGTGGGCGGGGGCCGGAATCACCTGTCTCGGAAGCTGCAGGGATCCGGCCACGTCGCCCCTCTCTGGGGCAAAGAGCCAGCTTTCCCCCAAGGGCTGGGAAGACTCCAGGCTAGACGCTCGTCCGAGCTACCTAAGGGCAGGAGCTAAGCTAGGCTGACTGGATAGACCAATGGAGGTCCCCTCCGCCTGACCTCCTGTCCCCACGCAGACCCAGCCTTGGCGCCACACATCCCCCGGGGGGGCCGGCGCAGTCACGCGCGCCTCTCACTCGCGCTCATACGCGCGAGGCTCAGCTGTCCTCGCCGCACACCTGCGCTCCGCCCCATACTCCCGGGCCGGCGACAGGAGAAGGGATTTGGGGATCCAGGGCGGCGGCCGAGGCGCCCCATCTCTTCCCTCTCCCGGGTCCAGAGTTATCGAGAGCCTGCCGCGTCTCCCAAGCAGCCCGCATCCCCCGCCATCCTTCCCTCCCCCCGCCTGCCGCGGCACCGGTATCCGCAGCCACAGCCGGGAGCCGGTGAGGCGGCGAAAGGAGGAGGGAGAGGAATCAAGGGATGAGCACCGGGAGGGCACCGGGGGCCCTGAGCCGGAGTAGGACACCCCTGGAGCCAGAATCGGAGCCAGAGCCTGAGCCGGAACCAAAGCACCGGTACCGGGTGGGCCAGGTGATAAAGGTGGGAGGAAACGAAAAGGTGGAGAGGAATCTGGGAAGTCCAGGGAGCGGAGGGGGCTGCAGAAGGGCCTTGCGGACGCTGACTCAGGTGCGATTTCTGCACTTGCCACATGAAAATTTTGTCCCAGCCCATGCTGCAGTGACCTTGGGAGGGACTGAAGCACAGGTCGAGCTGGAAGGGTTACTTGTCAGGGCGTTATGGAAGTAGAACCCGAATAGTGGCAGAGGGCTTGCGGCACCATCTGGCCTCAGGCTAAGGTCGGTCTTGGCCGACCAGCACCTTTGGCCCGGACAGCTCCCTCTGTGGGTTGGGGGTGGGGCCAGAGTGCCGGATGGGGATCTTGAAGACCGCATTTATACTCTTCCCCATCCCTGCTGCAGCCCCCTGAATCCAGGAGGCGCCCTGGCCCGCGCTCGCCCCCCAGGGCCTCATGTCGGAAACACAGCCTGTCCTGGAGCCGCCCCAACATGGGCTATACATGCTCTTCCTGCTTGTGCTGGTCTTCTTCCTCATGGGCCTTGTAGGCTTCATGATCTGCCACGTGCTCAAGAAGAAGGGCTACCGCTGCCGCACATCTAGGGCCTCAGAGCCTGACGACACCCAGCTCCAGCCCCGTGAGTGAGGAGCCTGGAACCCTGGCTCAGTCGCCTTTTTCCCTTACCCCTCTCCCCATACCTCTTTCTGCCTTCCTGGGCAACAGATCCAGGCCAAATCCTGATCCAGCCTGCAGGAAGCCTAGTGATGTATTTTCGAGTCAATAAGTAGGGTAACACCACTCTGAAAGCAAGGTTAGACAAGGCTGCATGGGCAGAAAGTGTTCACATAAGGTAGTGTTGGGCTTCTACTGACTTCCCCCATCTTTTCTGGCCCCTGAATTGCTCAAGTCCAGCATGATGGCAAATAGGTAAAGGGATATGTCTTGAGCAATCAGCTACAGGGGCAGTGAGGTCATGCTCCCCTAAGACTGACTCATTTCCTGCTCCCTTGCCAACCTCTTTCATCCTTCAGCTGAGGACGATGACATGAATGAGGACACAGTAGAGAGGATTGTTCGCTGCATCATTCAAAATGAAGGTGGGTACAGGCTGACCCCTTGCTCCCTCTCACCCCGTCTTGCTCTTGCCTTGACCTCCACCTCCATTGACTCCCTCTTTTCCTTCCCCCCTCAGCCAATGCTGAGGCCTTGAAGGAGATGCTGGGGGACAGTGAAGGAGAAGGGACAGTGCAGCTCTCCAGGTGAGCTGGAAACAGGGCCAGCATGAATGAGCTTGCCTTGGAGAGTAGCCTCTCCTCCAGCACACCCCTCTCCCAGCATCACTGCACGCTTGGGGTTGGGAGAGGCCCAGGCTAGCTACCTTACAGGAAGAAAGAAGTTCTGTAGCAACCTCTGGTCCTTCAGACCATGTCTTCCAGCTAGAGATCAGCAAGACTGACAGTCACCTCTAGTGTCACTCTTTTCTGTTAAGCATTAGTTTTTTTTGGTTTGTTTTTTAGCAAACAGGAGAAGGAAGAACATATGGTCAATTATATCTTAATACTGAATTTATTAAATAAAGACAAAAGGATGGGGCTGGGGATACATGGGGATTCTGGGGTTTTAAAGAGCATGCTGAAAACAGAAGACTGAACTGGAAAGGAAATAGAAGCATCATTTCTGTTCCCCTCCTCCCTACTGTCCAGCATGGATGCCACTTCCAGCCTGCAAGACGGAGTCCCCTCCCATCATCACACAGTGCATCTGGGCTCTTCAGCCCCTTGCATCCACTGCAGCCGCAGCAAGAGGCCCCCACTTGTTCGTCAGGGCCGTTCCAAGGAAGGAAAAAGCCGACCCCGTGCTGGGGAGACCACTGTATTCTCTGTGGGCAGGTGGGAAAACAATCCTCCAGGGAAAGAGACCCCAGTGCTGGGCCCCAGCCCTTCCTTCTGGACTGGGAGCAACATCAAGAGTCAGGCTGTATGATATGCCCCAAAATCTGGGAAATCCTCCCCCAACCTAGATCATCATATCTAGAAGGTTTCTGGTCAGAGGGGAGGGCCAGGCAGCCCCAGTTGTAGTCCTAAGCCCCAGTGTTCTCTCCCTCCTAGGTTCCGGGTGACACACATTGAGAAGCGCTATGGGCTACATGAACATCGTGATGGTTCCCCCATGGACAGGAGCTCAGGCTCTGGTGTGGGGCAGGACCCAAAAGGTGGTCATGGGGCTGGGGGAGGCCATCCTAGGGCAGGGTTGCCTGCCATAGAAAGGCTGCCTCCTGAGGAGCTGCAGCCTCAGGTCCTGGCCAGCCCCCCAGTGCAGAATGGAGGACTCAGGGACACCAACCGTATCCCTTGTGCACATGAGGGAAACTCTGGAACCTCTGCAGAGCCGACGCTGGGGGCCCAAGGGAAGGGCCCAAGCCCAGAGCTGCCCAGTCAAAGGGCCAATGAACAGCCAAGCAAACTGGACAACTCAGATCACCAGGTATGAAGATGTGGCTATAGCTGCAGTGGGCTCAGTTTTTTTTTTATTGTCCACTTCTTCGGGGACCACTGATAACGACTCACCACCTATTCCTGTTGTTGACACCTTACCTTTCTCCCAGGTGTCTCCATCACAGGAAGCAGAGGGTATATAAGGTGAGTCTACCTGAGCCCCAAATCAGGTGATCTTGTCCCCCAACCTGAACTCCCTAAGCTCATCAGTTCTCAACTCCCTGAACCCCCAGGGTGAAGTGCAGTTTTAGCCTGTGCTACAAATTCCTCAGCTGATGGTGGGGGGTGAGCATGGACTCCAGCAGCTAGGGAAGGACCTAGAGAAAAGTTCAGATAGAGCTTAAACAGGAAGCAACACTGTTACCCTTCCTCTCCTCCAAGCCTCTTCCTTCCTTGTACTGATGGACTACCAGCGGGCAGGGCCAGGGGGGAGTGGGCATGAAGGCCCTCCCTTTCACTGGACGGCACTGCCCCCCAGTTGAGGGACCAGCTCTACTTCCACTTGGAGTTGCCTGGTCTCAGCCTGGGGGACCACTGGAAAAGTTACCCACATTCCTGGCCCCACACTCTTGTCTACATCCCTTACCTGCCAACAGGCTACCTGGCCTGCCTTCCCCAACACCTCGCTCCATATGCTAGAGCGTGGCAGCTGGGACCAGGCCCCTGCCCTTGGTGGGCCCCTAAAGCAATAGCACCTTAGGCATCCTGCCCTCTTGGCACAAGAGGTCCAGGGCCTGACTTGGCCTTTGTGCCCTTTATTCACTGTCAATAAATCCGCTCAGACCATTACAGCTGCTTTGCATACTGGCTCCAGCTCCTTGTGACTCCCAAGGCCTGTTCCTCTCCTGGCCCCAACCCCAGTGACCCTGGAATCCAGAGTAGGAGGGGCCACACATCCAGAGTGGAGGCAGAGGTGGGCCAGAGCCCCTCAAGACTTTAAAGGGTGGGTTCCAACCCCAGAGATTTGGGGGTATTTTACCACCCACAGGATGGGGTGTTGGCAGAAGACAAAGGGGCAGCTCCAGACCTAAAAATGGCCAGAGGACAATGGAGAAAGGGACTGGATCCTAGCCCCAGAAAAGGGGAAAAGAGAAGTTTCTACTCCTAGAAGTGAGAGTAGATGTGGGGGAGATTCCAGCTTTTTGGCTGTGTCGCTCCGAATCATTGAGGGGGCAGTGTGAAAGCATGGAGAGAGGGGCAACAGCATCATTGGGGGCAGTGATCCCCTGTCTTTCAGGTGAACGAATCTGGATGGCCAGGGTCCGGGGCTTTAGCTGGTGGGGGAGGTGGTGGTCGCATCTGTAGGGAACACACAGGTAGTGCTCTAGAGACTTCCCTCAGGGCATTCCTGTCCTTTCCCTCAGCCCAGCAGAGAATAGGAGCAGTTGGAATAAGCCCTCTGCACACAATCTCCAGAACATGGCCCTTACCGGCCTGAGTCGCGGTGCCATTGTATCCAGGGGTCCAGAGCACTCCAGGGAGGTTTCTAGAAACAACCATAACCAATGTTTAGGCTTTGTTTTCAATGCTGTATCTTCAACGTGCAGGGTAGTAACACTCCATAAGTATTGGTTGGATTAACAAATAGTCACCAACCTTAACCATAAACTGCATTAATCTATCCGTCCTCAACAAATATTTATTGGGCAACTGCTATATGATCAGCTTTGATCAAGGTATCAAAAAAGACAGATGGAATACACATACACATACACACACACACACACACACACACACACACCCCAGTGCCTCTCAGGAACTCAATAATGAAACCTCAGAAACACAGTGGGCTGGGCATGACAACACATGCTTGTAAATCCCAGCTACTTGGTGTGCCTGAGGCAGGAGGACTGCAAGTTCAAAGCCAGCTTGGGCAACTTAGCAAAATCCTGTTTGAAAATAAAAAAATAAAATATTTCAGTGTAGAATGCTCCTGGGTTTAGCAAGCAGGCTCAGAAGCCAGGGGTTTAATCCCCAGGCCTGCCATGCCAGCCCTGCCCCAGGGGTGTACTGAGACGGCAACTGAAACTGGGCATGGTGGCTTACACCTGTAATCCCAACTCTTGGGAGGCTGTACAGGTGGATCACTAAGAGTCTGATCTAGTAGTGAGACCCTGAACATCCTGTAGACCCTTCCCTAAAATACAAGAAAAAAAAAAAAAGAATGCCCCTCGGTTCAATTCCCAGTGCTGGGGTGGGTGAGGGGTGGGATGGCAAACGAACACAATGTCTGAGTGCTAAGTCATTTAAAATAAACTAGGATACAAGAAACGATGGTGACTCCAGAAGGGGCAGAGAGGGTAACTCTGGAACAGGTGAAAGTAGCACAAAGTTTTAGTAAAGAGGGCATTCTAAGAGGAAAAAAAGGGAGCAGGGGTACTGGGGTTGTAGTCAGTGGTTGAATGCTTGCCTAGCATGTACAAGGTCCTGGATTCTATGCCTAGCACCATAAAAACACCACCAAAAATGTCACAAGGGAAAAGGAATATACATGATCCAGTGACACTAAGAGCAACAGATACATTTTGGGAGAATGAAGTGAGAGAAAGTAGGGATTTTAAAAACAACAATAGAACAGCTACTAGTTAGATGCTTTACTATGTCCCAAGCACCATGATGTATAAAGTATAGATATCTTTTTTAAATTCTTATAACCACCCAATACATTAGTACCTTTGACTTCACTTTATAAAGGATATAAAAGGATGACCAGACAGGCTAAATACCCCACAAGTTACATACCAGGAAGTGACAAAGCAGGATCTGAGCCAGACCAACCTAACTCCAAATCCCAAGCTCTTGCCTGGTAGCAAACTCTAGTGGACCCTACTGCAAAGTGAACTGAGGCTACAGAGAAGCAGAGTATCACCTGAGATCCCAACTTCCTCTTTGCCATCTCTTGTCCTTCCAGGACCCCCAGTTCCCTCTACTCACCCCCAGGCAGGACAGGTGCAGGAAGCCCATCTAAGACAGATGTGGGTGCAGGAGGGGAGAAGCTGGGAGGCGAAGGAGATGGCAGCACCTGGGACCAGGGTGGATGCAGAGTTATTCCTGGCATGTGGGAAACTTCCACTAGCTCTTATCTGTTTCTGGCCTAACAACTCGGATAACTGGCTTTTTGAGTTATTGATTGATTGATGTACATCAAATTATTCCAAGTTTTAGCTGCTTATAGCAACAAAAGCTTCTCTCTCAGATACTAGCTTGGCTTTGTTGTTATCTGATGTGGAGTGGGACTTGAACACACATGCTAGGCATTTTGGGCGTACACTGGGCTATGGCCCCAGACTCGCTGAATTTTGTCTGTGCGCCAGGAATGAGGCTCAGTTGGGAGGCCTGGTAGCCAGACTATCGGACAGGGCTGTGGTCACCTAAGGGTCCAGTTGTGTTAGAGGACTCCTTCCAAGGGGGAGTCAGGCATGAGGCTTACCAGCTCTTCATCCCCTTCAATCCCTATCCTATTACTTCCCAATAAAAGTGGGAATTGGTCAAACATTTGTTTTTACACAGGAGTTCATTCAATCTTCACTAACACTCCATGAGACAAGCTTTTTTTTTTTTTTTTTTTGAGACAAGGTCTTGCTATATATAGTTCAGGCTGGCTTTGTTTTTGTTTTTTTTTTTTTAATTTATTTATTTATTTATGTGTGTGTGTGGCCAGCTCAGCCCACCAGGGGGTGGGGCTGGCTGGCATGTGGTGCTGGAGGATTGAACCGTGGTCCCTGTGCTTTGCTAAGCTTGTTTGCTCTAAGTAGGTGCTTCAGACCACTGAGCCATCTCACCAGCCCCAAGGATTTTTGTTTGTTTTTTTTGTTTTGTTTTGTTTTTGTTCCTCGAATGCCTTCAGGGCACTTTTGGCCAGGGGGAGAGGTGTGAGGTTCAAACTCCAGCAACCTGAGGCTGACAGCTTTGTGGAAGCAGCCACTTAAAGGCCTGAGCTAGGGCCAGGCCCCCCAGGCTGGCTTTGAATTCACTATGTAATCCAGGGTGGCCTTGAACCCACTGTGGTCCTCCTGCCTCAGTATCCTGAGTGCTCTAGGACTACAGGTGTTCACCACCATGCTTGTCTGAGACAAGCATTTTTATGACTCCTACATCAGAGGTAAGATTCAGGTTAAGCCACTGGTCTGAGATCACAAAGTGATCAGAATGCTGGCTAGAAGGGCCAGCCAGATAGCTCAGCAGATTTAAAGCACCTGCTTAGGCAGACACAGCAGGGACCAGATTCAATCCCAGCATTCCATGCTGGCCCCATCCCTGGGGCACTGAGACAGTGATTATAATTAGACCTGGTGGTACATGCCTGTAATCCCAGCACTTGGGAACTGAAAACAGGAGAAGCACTATGAGTCTGATCTGTGTAGTGAGACCCTATAGACCTTGTACTAAATACATTAGAAAAAGAAAAAGTGCTGGCTAGAACATGCGTCTTCTAATGCCCAGTTCTTTGTTCTCCCTGCAGTATCACAGCAATAGATCACAGTTTAAGCACCTCCTATATCCCACAGGGCTAAGGACTCCACCCCTATTATTTCTAGTCATGATAATGAGCCTGAAAAACACATATAATCTCCATTTTATACAGCAGTTTAGTGACTGCCCAAGGTCATACAATGGAAATGTGATAGACATCTAGCATTAAAATTCTCCAAACTCCTATGTTCTTTTTTTTTTTTTTTTTTGTGGAACCAGGGATTGAACTCAGGCCCTTGCACTTGCCAGGGAAGCACTTATTCTACTGAGCCATCTCCCCAGCCCTCCAAACTCCTATGAAGGCAGCCTTCATTTCCCTTTTGTCTGGCCAGTCAAAAGAGATGGGCAGAGAAAGGCCTAAGCCACCGCAGGAATTAAATCTAGGCCTTACTGGAGTGAGAAGGTCAATTCAGACATACCTGAGAAAACAGAACAAAGACTTACCTGGTCAGGGTCAGAGAGTTCAGGGGGAACAGGGGGCCCAAGTAACTCTTCCACAAGGAGGGACGGAAAGACCCCAACATGGCCCCCAAGTTCTCCCCGCCAGAAGCCATCATCCACACCATCTTGGGCCCTGGGCAGCAGGCGAATAAGCGCTCCCTCAGGGAAGCTCAGCTCTTCTTCACTTTGGCCAGTATAGCTGTACAGGGCTCGGGCCAGGAATGCTGTAGAAGCCCACAAGAAATGGTGGAAAAAGGAGTGAGATGGTGGTACAGCAGATCTGTGATACCCCAAGGTTATAAGCACCTAACAATCTGTTTCCATATCCAAGGCCCCTGGACCCAGAAGTTCATTTCTTACCTGTGGGCTCTGCGCCTGAGGGATTATCACTGTCATGGCTGCTCTCAGGAAAGGAGAGATCCGGGAAGTCGAGATACCGCTCAGGGACAAACCCTACTTCACCATACTGATTCCGAGCCTGCTCACCAGCAATATGAATGGACATTAGACTTGCCTCAGTAGTCCATGGCCCCGGCTCTTCTCCATTCAGGATTCCACCTTTGCCTGGATGAGTCCATGGAGGCCAAAGAGAAGTCTTCCCACTTCCCCCAACCCAAGGTGAGAATCAAGAGCCCATACACACCTTGACCCATTCGTCAGCATCTCCTTCCTCGATAACCTCCAGCCATTCACCCTCCATGATGGTCAACTCATCTTCATGCCCTGCCTAAAAGCCCCACAAGAAAGGATTCAGAATTTGGCTGTCCCCCACTGTTGCCCAGTCTGAAGTCCCCAATCCCATTCATACCTGATAGCCAAACACCACATGGGCAGGGCAGGGGAACGGCCTGGTGGCCAGGGCTGGAGGGGCAGGCTCTTCAAATAGCTCCCCTGTCTCCTCACATTCATCAAAGTCAGAAAGCTCAGCATCTTCAGCCTGGAGAAGGGCAGAGGACACACATAATTATGGCGCCTCACTCCTCCATCCTACCCCTAAACAACACAAGGAATGCTCCTCCAGGCCTTCCCCCCACAACCAATCACCATCTCTCACAACCAAAATCCCCAGAGTGGAGTGATACTAAATAATAGCAACTGAGTGCTTGATAAGTATCCGGCACAATACTAAGTATGTTATGTTTATTGTTGCATTTATTCTTCATAAGAACCTAGTTCTATTTTACATTATGAACCTCATTTTACTCTTGAAGAAACTGAGGTTCAGAAAAGTTAAGTCCTTTTACAAACTCATGCAGCCAGTAAGCGGAGTGGCTAGTACTCAAACCACTTAGACTGCTTCCAGAACCTGAGGTCTGAATCATTCTATCATAATAAAAGTTTATTGAGGACTTTCTGTGCCAGAACCTATGCAAATAAGTTACATGAATCATCTCATTTAAGCTTCATAACAGCCCTCTAAGTTAGGTACTGCTCTGTGTCCCATTTTAGAAGGTCTGCCTTCCACCAGGGAGTTTCGCCCTCCTAGATGCATGTGGTTGGGCTAGGGGCAGTGCTCACAGTAGGAGAGAGGTCCCTCTGGGACAGCCGAGCCTCACTGAGCCGTCGTTCCTGTTCCACCTCATCCTGGGCCTGGGTCATGGCTGGCTTCAGCCAGTGCTGAACATCCAAGCCAGCCCCCTGCAGCAGGGCCAGCCGGGCAGCCCCTTTCACCTGGCTCACCTGGCATTAGAAGAAATGGAGTTGGTCAACCCTGGCCAATGGAGCTGATGGAGTAGATTGTGGAAGAAGGGATCTCAGTAACTCTAAGCCCAGGGCAGAGACTCACCTGTGCCCGCCGGATGCTGTCCCTCACTTCCTGCAGCCGCTGCTCTATGCCTGGAGCCTCTCGCTCTGGAGCCTGCTGCCACCTCTGCTCTAGGCGCTGCAGCACCTGATGGGGGAGGGGGAGCCAGGTGGAGCCACGGTGGACCACAACTTACCCTGGGCCTGGTACTTGGCTAGTTGAATCACTTGCATTGTCATTTAATCTTCCCTAGGAAGTGGGTGTTACTATTGGCCACACTTCAGTGATGATGAAACTGAAGTTCAGAGAGGTGAAGTCACTTTCTTACTCAAGGTTACAGAACTTGAAAGCAACACAAGGCAATCTGACCCCAGGTTAGTCAAGCTCCAAACACTGTGGTCACAACTACAACTACTGTATCACACCATTGTTAAAATCCCTTCCCTCCCATCCTCTCTGCCATACTATGATACCCCCAAGGACTCTACAGATCCCCATCCCTCAGCACTTCTTGCCCACTCCCAACCCTGGCACCCCCACCTCACCCGATGCCCGTGGTGCTGTATCTTGTAGTCTCGGGCAGCTCGGCTCGTCCAGCGCTGGATCTCTCTCTCTAGGCTCTTCTCCCCAGCTGTGCCTTCTGCCCCCTCTTCCAGGGCACACACCTGAAGGGGATGGGTGTGTTGCAAGGAGAACCTAAGATTGTGCCTCTTCTCCAATTCCTTTTATTTCTTTGGTCATCACCTCCAAGGACAGGGACAAAGAGGTGGGAGCACTGGCCTATGTCTATAGAAACAGACACATAAGGTATGGGCACACAGACAGGGTCCCAGTAGAAGGACAGTGATGGAATGGAGAGGATAGTGCAGTAAAGAGACTGAACGGAGGGGCTGGGGAGATGGCTCAGTAGAATAAGTGCTTCTCTGGCAAACGCAAGGGCCTGAGTTCAATCCCTGGCTCCGCAAAAAAAAAAAAAAAAAGACAGACTGAATGGAGAACTAAGGTGTGCTAAATCATAGTTTTGTTTATATTTGGCGCTCTTCCCACTACCAGGGAAGTCTCACCTGATCAGCCCCTGCTGGCTGAAACTGCTGAGGTGGAGTAGGGAAAAACACTCCAGGCTCCTGAAGAAAGAGCTTCACATCCTGCTCCCAGTTTACCTGGGGCAGAAAAAGTCTTGATCCCCTACTCACAGCCCCCCACCCACACACACACCGCAACCTTGTCCCCAGTACCTCTTGGAGGAAAGTGGACAAGGTGCGAATAGAATGATCTCTAGGGGACCTCTCACAGCCCTGCCCTCACCTGGGAGGTGGCCTGCCCCCCGTGGCGGGCATGCTCCAGGACCTTCTCTGCGGCTTCCAGCTCAGTTCGACTCAGTAAGGTCAGGGGGTCCCTCAAGTGTTCCGACAGCTCACTGACCAGGGCCTGAAGAGAAATCCAAAATACTGACACCAGCAGTCGCCCAGGCCTCCACTGCAACCAGTGTCTCTGTCCAAGGTCTGGGTGAGGGATGGACATGAGGGATGGGAAGGAAGGAAGGAGTAAGAGGTCATTACTACTTCCACTCTAGGCCCTCATGTATGTACACCCCTTTCTATTAGTTTACTTTGTAGTGCAGAGGATGGGACCCAGGGCCTTGTACATGCTGAGCAAGTGCTCTACCATGTACACCCCAATCCCACTTAACAGTTTAAAAAGCAACCAATCTCTATTTTTTTTAAGACCTCATCAATGTATAAGGTAGGCCGAACTGGAGATAAATCTGGTGAGGAATATGGGGCTCAGAGAGGTTTAGGTACACTGTATCATATCATACAGACAGAATCAGAACAAGAACCCAAGTATGCACCTTCTGCCCACCCAAGCTAGTCTCTAGGATCAGCCAGCCGAATGGGAGGTGGGAAGCAGAGGGTGGCCCTCCCCCTTGCAAAAGGAAGGGGATATCTGGTTGGGACTGACTTTGAGAAGGGCAGGCAGTTCCTCCTTGTAGTAGTGGTCAAGGTGGGCATTCGTGGCTACCAAGTTGAGCAGGTAGTCATTGCGGGCTGCTCTCAGCTGCTGGGAATACTGGGCTGACTGGGCAGATAGCTAAGAGCAGAAAGAGGTATCAAAAAGCAGCCTTGGGCCCAAGGCCAACTAAAGCCAGATCCAGCATAGCTTGCCACATTATTAAATACTATGTGTTTGGCACTATAGGAAAAATCTCACGTACAGCCCCAAATCATGTACTGTAGCCATGCTCATCCCATAGCCTGCAGGCCATATGCAGCCCTGAACAGCTCATCATGCGACCCCATAACATTGTAAACCTTTAACATCATTATGTGGTTTCTATCCATAACTTTCATGACTCAACTGCTTGGTGCTCCAACATAGGCAACAACAATCCTGCCTCCTACGCCTGCTCACACAGTGAGTGCATTTGTGAACAACTATTTTCAAAGACAAAGCATACAAGGAGTAAAAGTAAATCTAAAGTTTCTGATGAGCACCTTCAGAATTCACTAAGAGTTGCAACCACTTCCATCAAGCTGGACACTGATGCATTAGTTGCACAAAAAACAAGGTCGACAAGGTTTTATGTTTATGTTGCTGCGAAATTTTGTTGCTTATATCCACTAACTATATATATA